AATTTGTTTTCCACATTGTTTCTCTACTTCTGCTTTATATATTTTGAAAGCATCCAACGCTTCATCCTTGTGATAAAGCAAATAGAGATACATATATCGTGAGTAATCATCAATAAAGGTGATGAAATATTTCTGATCATTAGAGCTCATGTCAGGGCAACAAATATCTGTGTGTATGATTTTTAAAAGTTCAGAACTTTTCTTGGCACCCTTCTTGGATTTGTTAGTCTGCTTTCCCTTAATGCAGTCTACACAAGTATCAAAGTCAGTAAAGTCAAGAGTTTTAAGAACTCTAGCATTTACCAACCTTTTAATCCTATCAATGGAGATGTATCCTAATCTCCTATGCCACAAAAAAGAAGAGTTTTCATACATAACAGTACGTTTCATACCAGTGTTAGTATGTGAAGTCATAAGACTATAAGGAACATTATCACTTAAATGAATTTTAAACAAACCATCAACCAAAGTACCATTTCCAACAATAGATGAGTTCTTAATTAAATTAAAAGAACTACAATAAAAGTTGAAAGAGTATCCACAAGGTACAAGTTTAGAAACTGAAATTAAATTCCTAGAAAAACTAGGAATATAAGAGGTTTGTTCCAAATCCAAAGCATAATTAGTACTTAAAATAAGTCTAAATGTTCCAACAACTTCAACACGTGAAGGCATCTTGTTTCCTGAATAGATGCTGCATTCACTTCCCAATGGCTTCCTTTGATCCAGAAAACCCTGTATGGTATTAGAAACATGGATTGTAAAACCAGAATCAATTCACCAATCATTATGTGAAACACAAATCATATTAGATTCATAACACACAAGAGATAAGAGGTTACCTTTCTTGTCAAGCTAGGCCTTCCTCTTAAGACAATCCTTCTTCATGTGTCCCATCTTTTTACAGAAGAAACACTTGATATTGTCTATATTTCCTTTGCTCATAACCTCATGCAGCTTGCCTTTTCCCTTCCACTTCTTATTCTTGTTTGAAGTGTAATTGACATTTCCTGTAACCAGATGTGCAGTTTCATTCACTTCCTAAAGCAGTCTCTCCTCCTCTTGAACACACATGGTCAAAAGCTCATTGATTGACCATTTATCCTTCTGTGTGTTATAAGATATCTTCAAAGGATTATAATGAGACGAGAGAGAGTTCAGGACATAATGCACTAGGAAATCATCATTAATCACCATCTGAAGGGATCTCAACTGAGCAGCGATGTCCCTCATTTTCATAATATGCTCACAGACTCCTTTAATACCAGTAAACTTCATGGATGTTAATCTACTCATTAGGGTGCTACCTAATGCCTTGTCTGATGTTTTAAACTGTGCATGAATCGCATCTATCAGATCCTTGACATTTTCACACTCCGGTATCGACCCACAGATACTAGTCGTAATGTGAGATTCAATAAACATCATGCTTAAACGATTGGATCGCTCCCACCGTTCATACAAAGCAATCTCAACTTGAGAGCTAATATCTATTGGTGTAGGTGGCTCTTCCTTACGAAGAGCATAATCAAGATCAATGTACCCTAAATGAAGAAGGACAACCTCTCTCCAAGATTTGTAGTTATCACCATTTAAATTAGGAACCTTATCCTCAGCCATCATCAAAGTTTGATCAACTGTAGGTATATCAATATACATGCTTACTAAATAAATTATGAGACACAAACCATCAATAACAATTATAAGTTTACCAATGTAAAATAAATAATAAATCATAAATAAATCGACATATCATAAAATCTCTCTGTGGGTAAAGACATTACATATTATGATTCATTATCTTTTAATGATGAAACTAGAAATTATTAATATTTCATAATACCTGTGGGCTAATTAAGAAATAAGAATAATTTCTATTTCATCCCTAATTAATCATGAAAATATAACATTCCCTGTGGGTAAAATGATTATATTAATATGATTAACTACAAAACGATGTTATTAAAGTTAATATGATCATAACTAATATTACTTAATGCACATATTATCATAATTTAGATGCTGCGGGTACTCTAAATTAATCAAATATATATAACCATAAAACATCAAATAATTTATAACATGAATTATTGCATATAATATAACACAAATCAATACAAGAATAACACCTTATTTATGCATAACAAAGTAGTACATGACATAAAAACTATCATACATGCTGTCACCGACTCCCACGCGCCACCGTGACAAAACCACGTGTCCCCACGCGCAACCAGAAGGCAACACACACTTCCATGTGCCTTCACGCGCCTACACGGCCTTACCACTCGCCTTCACACGCATACACGCGCCTAAATACACACACTCACGCGCCTGACGCAAGCACAAGCTTCCTCACGTGCCGGATTTCAACTTGGGTCAATTTGACTCGTTTAATCAGGTCAAGTTGACCCTTTTGCTCACCTGTTGACCCGATTTGACCTCTATGGATCGGTCTGACCCGTTGACCGGGTCATTGACCAGTCTAATCCGTTGACCTTGCTGATCGGGTCGGGTTGACTCGTCGGGTTTCTGGGCTGGTTTGACCTGGTCGTTTGAACTGTTTTGACTGTTTACTTTGATTGGGTTAGTTTGACCTGTTTATCCTATTGGGTCGGTTCTTCTTGACCCGTTTTCTGTAATTTTTTTTACCCAATTTTTTGTAGATTTTAACAGCTTGATTCTGGCCATTTTTTCGGCATTTTAGAGGGAAAACTTGAATGTGGATATATAACCTATATCAGTGACATCACAAATGACAATTTCGTCCTAAATCGGTGTCGTAAATGGCTTCCGAAAACACTCAAACAATAATTTTTAGCCGAAACTTTAAACTAGCATAACTTTGCAACTATAACTCCGTTTTTAACAAATAATATACCGTTGGAAAGTTTTTTCAACAAGGATTCCAATGACACTAAAATCGAAAACAGATTCTATTTATAATAAAAGTTATGCTTGATTTACAGTACGGATTTTAATTGAAAAATCCCAATTTTATGCAATATTTTCCAGATTTGCAACAAACAATTTCATGCTAGGCAGAGATTCAAACAATGCTCTGATACCAAATGTAAAATACATTTCTATTCCAATATTAATATAAAAGTTCATAATACATTAAAATTTTAAACATCTAAATACTCATGGAATATATATGTGGAAGTAATTCACAAACCTCCCGCCATAGCAATTGTTGTTTAGTCTTCTTGCTTCTTCAGAATACAGAGTCTTCCACTGACTGCAATTTTAGAGCGATGGTTTTTGGGAATCAAAAAATGAAAATTGCATCAAATGGGGACCTATAAAGTCTTCTTTATATGCAGTTGTCTTTCCATCAAAGACAACTGCCCAAGAGAAGAGACACAGCCGTATGAATTATAATCCACATCAGCATAAAAGTGTTGGACCATAATGTAAAAAGTCTAACGTTATATACTTAAAATAAAAATTGAATGAAATGAAAACTGAAAAAAATATATAAGTAGACAAAGGGTACTATAGTTTTTATATGGTTGTAATCTATTTTTCGGGTGTATTTGTTACTATTTGAAACCCTTGGATATGTTGACTTTCTCAAACCTTGAGGACTAAAATGGTATAAACATGTGTAGATTTTGTAAAGGACAAATTTAACCTCAAAATTTAATAACTTATCAATTATATCCTTGATGAAATAATAAATGATACTATTTTTAATATAAGTAAAACCTCTCTATAGTCGTAATGGTGAGACTAACTAATTTTATTACTATAAAGAGGTTATTACTTAATAGAGGTGTAGTTACAAATTTTTTTTATTTTATAATTCATGTTTCAACAGTATTAGGATTTCAAATTCAGTGCTTCAATCGCCTACTTTTGAACAGATAGAAGATCATGTCTTGGAACTAACAAATATAAGTGTCTTTGATGGAATTGTAAATGTAGTTGCCGCATGGTCAATTGATGTGAAACCGCAGACAATTGCCAATTGTTTTAAACATTACAAGATTAGGACCCCCGACATCGATGAATTGCAAGTTACAAATTAAGTGGAGGAGGAGAATCAAAGAGTCATAGTAGAATTGAGTGATTATATTCGATAACTTCACTACACTAATTGAATGGATATTAATATCTTTCTCAATTATAGAAATGAACAACAAGTCATATATGCTTTTTTTGAAGAAGAAATCATTGTTACAGTAAAAAAAGAATAGAAAGGAAATAATCATGAGTATGATAGTATGGAGACGCAAAAAATTTTGTGCCAAGAAGCTCTAAACATACTTGAGACGCTAAAAATATTTTAGTTTCAACAAGAAGATGTCTATGCTAGCGAGTAATGTACCTATAAGTTAAAAGATGTTGTATCAACTCTAAAGCATAAATCATTATCCCAAACAACTTTAGATAAATATTTTATTTCATCTTAAACCTTTAATGTAACATATCATATATTTTTTTACAATATACAGATAGTTATTACTATGTGGAGACAATTTTCCTTAAGACGAGAATTAGAAAAATTATAACTTATTACAATGTGAAGTTTATTCTTATTTATAATTATTCTAAAATGAGAATATAATTTTTTATGACTATATAAAGTTTATTCCTATATAGAGTATAACTGTAGAGAGATTTTACAGTATAACGCTAAATTATGTCAGACTGTAACATCTAACAACATGAATTGACAATCTAATTAAAGCATGACCGTGCTAGATTTGGTAATCTAACAAGTTCTGACCATTTTTGTCATTTTTATTTTTCATTAAAGACAATTGTGGTAAGTCATATGATTTTATGGTAAAATCTATCATTTGAAAATAATCTTAGACACGTTAGGAATTAAATTAATAAAGTAAAGACGGCTCTATAGGGAATATCTCTTGAATTATTTGTCTAGATAAAATATTGAATTATTTGTATAGTTGATACGGGTATATGTGGAATTTCACTTCACCGATTGCGACGGGGTGTAAATCTCGGAGGTTTGAAGTAAATTCCCCTGTAATGAATACCGACTCACCAAATAAAAAATAACAATAAAAGAAAATATTTTAACAATAGAGTAGAATCGAAACAATTCCTGGTCGTGCAGCACCAAAAGCCCACAAAAACGCTGAGGATATAGCATTTGGGAAGTTTTAGTTTGCGGGATTGCATTGTGAAGACGCCTTACTAGCATTTTCGAAGACCGCAAACTACAATCCACTGTAAGTTTTCGAACTTTACTGAATATTATTTTGTGGGTTCATTTTGAGGAAGATGGATTGTGAAATTTGTGTATTAGTTTTTGGGTACACAGAATATTGCGGCTTTTTAAAATTGGTTCCTTTAGCATTTTGGATTGTCAAGACGTGTAACTTTTTTTTGGCACTTAAATTGCTTGATAAAATGACTGAGAGAATTTTGATTTGATGGAACGCTGTAATAGAGAAGAACTTATGCTTTTGAGAATGTTATGTGCTAATTTTCAGTGATCAAATGTTGAGTCAAAACCCCAATAAGGTACGCTGGTTAATTAATTTTTGATGAAATTTGGAGTGTGTAGTGTTTAGGCTGAGGTGATTTTGATGTGATTTATAACGCAGAGACCTTATTGATGTCTAAAAATTCTTTAAAAAGTTAGAAGTTTTGTAGCTTGATGCAGTAACTAGAGTACGCGCTGAAGGCATTTTGGTAGAGACTGTTGAGTGTAGTTAGTTTTTTGAATTATCTTGTCATCTCTCAGGGTGAGTTTTCCTCTATGTTTAAAATGATGTGTTGACTTAAGGAGAAATGTGGATTTGCTATTTTTTTTTTCTGGGTAAGATAAAAGTGTGGGAGAGTTGCCTTCTTGATTTAAACGAATAGTAGAAGATGAATGGTATTTATTATTTTAGGCTGTCTCTAAAGTGGGTTTGACTTATTTTTGAAATTTTTGGTCATCATTTTTTTATTTTATTTTTATAATCGATGTAAAAATGGTCATGTTTGTAAGTTTGCCTACCTAGAAAGTTCTTGACTTTGTTTAAAATGCAGCAATGGCGGCAATGGAGGGAGTGATGTCGCAAGATCAATCCCAGCAGCAGGTGCCGGCACAACCAGTAGTAGTGGAGAGGCTGAATCAGGCAGTGGTGCAACAACTGAATCTTGAAGCTGTCAAAACTCGAGCCATTAGTCTATTCAAAGCCATATCTCGCATCCTCGAAGACTTTGACGCATATTCTCGCACCAACACCACTCCTAAATGGTATTAATATTATTACCCTGTATAGTTTGTTGCCATGCTTTAAATTAGGTTGGTAGTAAATGTAAAATTACAGCTAGTTGACTAGAAGGTGGAGTTAACCAGAGATTGAAATGTTGAGTGTGCACCCAAGGAAATGCTTGCACAATTAATCATTTTTCAGTTGTTCTAAGTTTTTTTTGTGTCCCAAAATGCTTTTCAGAACTGAATAATGGCTGAGAAGTGTGTGGAGTGATATGACTTCCAGAAATTTCTTCTCAAACCGTGTGGCTTTAATGATGTTGGTGTAACACAGCCAAAATAATTTCATAGATCTTGCGAAGAGCGAATTCTGGGGAAGTTTGAAATAACAAAATTTTCAAACATATTAACTAAAGATGGTCATTTTTTTGCTTGCTATTTCTTGAATTAACTGTGCTGACATTTGGGTTGCCTTTCAGGCAAGATATTTTGGGGCAATATTCTATGGTGAACCTTGAGCTTTTCAACATTGTGGATGAGATAAAGAAGGTTTCCAAGGCTTTTGTAGTCCATCCAAAAAATGTTAATGCAGAGAATGCCACAAGTATGGTTATGTTCTTGATATCTTTAGGCGCAATAACTATACATCTTCTGGGAATTAGAAATTATGTTTGCCTTTGCTTGTTCTTAGTTTTACTGTAGTGTGAAGCATTGTTGTCCACTCATGCCTTTCTGGAACCGTTCTAAGATTTAGATAAATTATTATGTACAACTTTCTTTCCCATTCAAAAGTCATATACCATGTATAAATGTACATTGTTATGAATTGATGCCTCATATTGAACATTCTATGTACATGCATGTACTTTATGAGTAGTGTCTGTATATTGTAAGTTAATCATATTCATTGTGTGTATATTTAGAAGAAGATAATTGTGTATGGCTGTGTTGACATAATTTCATTAGTAGTTTTCATGGTTATATATTTTTGTGATGTATGTATTTTTACGATTGTGGCACTCTTTTGTTAGACTTGAAAACCTTATGTAATAGAATTTCTTTAATATGCATTTATTTAATCATGAACAGCCACCTTGTTTTAAGTAAAATAAATGAAAGCTGCTAACTGCACTGTTTCAGTAGGCTGGTCAATACTAATTTTACTATTGCTTAGTTGACAATTTCTCTATGCTTAAGATGTGATATGCGATATCAGTTACTTTCATCATCATTGTTATCCTTGGAAAAATGCTTGTTGAGTGGCAGGGCTGACAACACCTCTTTTGGCTTCAGAAGAGGCTTTCTTTCTTAAGTTGGTCAATATTCTGCACTACTGCTTTTCTCCTCCATTTCCATTAGCCAAACATTGAAAAGTTGAACTTAACAAAATAAAACAGCTTGAAATAGGAAATCTAAGGATTTTTGAAGCATATATACCATCTTCATCGGATAAAGATAGGTTTTGAGTTTCTCTTTGGGCTTTTATATCTTTAAAATCTAAGGAATAAGCTTTTTCTTTTGTCATGATGGTTTAGAGGTGGCTAGTACTTGAAGTTCATATAGGTTTCTATTTAGTTTATTTGAATAGGATTATTCATTGATTTTTTGTAGGGGTCCAAGTTTTGGTTAGTAGGGGTTCTAAGTTTTGGTTAGTAGGCCTTGTTGCTTATCTTATACCCTGATTTTTGGTGCGGAAAGCTTGTTCCTACACTATTTTTAAACCATTAGATCAAAGCACTTTAGATGGTTGAGATTAAATCCAGCATATGTAATTATTGAACTTTGGAAAGACATATGTTAGATAACCATCCAAAGTGCTTTGACCCAGTAATCTAAAATGGTATAAGAAGTTGTGTATTAATGTTATTCCATTGATCCTAGTATACATACACACATTGATATGAAAAGTAAATCTGAAGCATTTTACTTAATAGTATTCTGGTGTATATCATAATTTCCATTTGGGGCGTAAATACATGAATTAACTTAATAGGATTCCTGTTTATGACAGTATTACCTGTTATGTTGTCATCGAAGCTACTGCCGGAGATGGAGATGGATGACAACTCCAAGAGAGAGCAGCTGCTTCTTGGGATGCAAAACCTGCCAGTTCCCTCACAGATTGAGAAATTGAGGGTGACCTAAAATTTATTGGATAATCATTTGCTTTTTTTTCTCGAATTCCTTGCATTTTGATGTAAACCTTATTGTCTTACAGACTAGGATTGACATGATTGGAGCGGCCTGTGAAAGTGCTGAAAAGGTACTGGCTGATACACGTAAAGCTTATATATTGGGTACTCGTCAAGGGCCACAAAATCTTCCATCCTTGGACAAGAGCCAGGCTGCAAAAATTCAAGAACAGGAGAACTTACTACGGGCTGCTGTGAATAATGGAGAAGGTGATTCTTCCAACAAGCTGATATTCTCACAAAACACTCATAGATTGACATTCATGAACAGACAACTCCTTTTCCTCCACTTTAGGCCTACATTTTATTTTGTCAATGTTGTTTCTGGCTTTTGCACTGAAAGCTTACAATTATTTTGCACACACAGGTACACTTTTACTGTTTCTATTTCACTGTAGGTCTGAATGCTATATTTTTATAATAATTTTTGTCTTATGATTATTTTTGTCTTTTGAAATGAAAGCTTACATGTCCTAAGTCATCTGAGTGGTAATAGTAGATCTACTATTGCTATTTGTGGTGACATGTGAAAACTGGAAATTTTACAGAACCTCTTTTAGAGTTGGAAATTACAACACTTTTATAAAACTCAAAACACGGGTACGTTATACATTCAAAGACATACAAACGAGGTTCACCATGAAATTTTCCACTGAAACTCTTTATTTGCATGTACAATACAGTGATACCATCAGTAGTTGTAGAGATAAAAGTAAAAAGTTGACAACTGTAAAATTGTCTCATTTTCTCTTCTTCATTGCTAAAAATGATTTTTTTTTTTTTAATTTTTGGCCATCTGATTGCTGATCATCTTTTGGACCATATCAGTCTATTTGTCTGAACTGATTCAATTGATGTTTCTAATCATATGTCAGTTGATAGATCAATTCATTAGCTGGGCATAATTTTCTGCTGTATCTTGAGCTCATATTATGTGGGTATTCATCAATTAATACGGAATCATAACTTGGGGTTCATTTGTTAATTCATGCTCACATTAATAGTTGGCCGGTCAAATTGAATTTTAGGGACAGCTCTCTAGTATTAAAATTTTTACATCTGTAGAAGCCAGTATCATTGATTCTTAAGGTTTGGCAGTATAATTAAGTTTTGCAATGAGAGCTTATGAGCCTGGTTCCTGGTAAGCACGCTTATTAATCAAACCTAATGTAAATGGTATGTGTATGCAGGTCTACGGATGCTTGGAGACCAGAGGCAGATGACACCTGCCCTTCCAGTGCATCTGGTTGATTTGTTGTCCACAGGTGATGGAGTGCACAATATTTCTGATACATCTGGTAACATTCAGTCACTTGTTATGCTAGCACAAGTATTCATTTTAATTTAATACAAGATTGTATTCCAATTCTGCCTTTGAAAATTCTGTTGCAGGTATGTACATGAAGGGCACTCCACCTTTGTCTTCAAACAACATCATCAGTCAGGGGAATTTGTTACAGGTTACATATTGGCTTTCACTAGGTTATTTATTTTATGTTTTGTGCGTTTCCATGTGGGAAGCAAGAGAGACATTGTGCTGAATATCATTTTGTTTACTATTTTGTCCTTTGTTTCTATTACATTACATTGCATTTCCTTTGTCAGCAAATAATATTTTTCTGAGAGAAAAATAGCCAAGACTCATTATTGTCTCACTTTCTTTTCCATACAAGTTGCAGAAAAAGGATGAAGATATGATTTTTTGATAGGAAATAAGAGATGTATATCAATAATTCAGGAGGATAGGATTAGGACAAAGACTTTTTTATTTTTGTACATCTCAGTGTTCATCACATTGCTTTATAAATTTCCACTTTTCTGATTATAAATTATTTTCCTCAAGTTGTAGATGCAAGTTTTATCTTTGGTCAATGTAGTTTTCATAGTCTTTTGTGATTATTGATGCACCTCTTGTCAGATTTCTTAATTTACAAATTACAACTGGACAATTAAAAGAATATTTTTGCAGATTTTGTTAATTTTGTAGCTTCTCCCGTCCAATTTTTCTGGGAAAGTTGGATGATTTTACTTTTAACATCATAAATTCTTAGAGTTCTTTTTTTTTGGTTTTTTATTTTTTTATTTCAAGCAATGTCCCAAAAAGTACATTAATATTGCTAAATTTTAACTTTTGTCTGTTGCAAAACCAGCCCGACATCTTCTTTTATTTTTTGAGTTCAGTCGGTGCTGTACTTGTTTGTTACTTCAGGCTGTTCCTTGTTGAACACATAGGATTTCTGTTTGAGTATGTTTGCCCATCATTCCCTTAATTTGTGCTTATGAAATCATGTTGTTGCTGCTTAACATGATCCTTTGTTTTTTTTCCTTTTAAGGTTCTACTTGCAGCTTCATGCCTGATCTTGCTTTGGCATGCTAGTTTGTGTCAGACTATTGTTTATTAGTATTGGACTGAACTGTGATTGTTTTAGATAGTATTTGATTGTACAGTACTATCCTAATGTTTGACGCAATACTGAGGTAGATGGGATTGCAGATGGCGAATACATTCCAATATACCATCAAACCTATTAAAATAAATCTAAATATGAACTTAAACTTAAATTAATTATTAAAAATTTTGAATGTTGAATTTTTNCACAGGTGATGGAGTGCACAATATTTCTGATACATCTGGTAACATTCAGTCACTTGTTATGCTAGCACAAGTATTCATTTTAATTTAGTACAAGATTGTATTCCAATTCTGCCTTTGAAAATTCTGTTGCAGGTATGTACATGAAGGGCACTCCACCTTTGTCTTCAAACAACATCATCAGTCAGGGGAATTTGTTACAGGTTACATATTGGCTTTCACTAGGTTATTTATTTTATGTTTTGTGCGTTTCCATGTGGGAAGCAAGAGAGACATTGTGCTGAATATCATTTTGTTTACTATTTTGTCCTTTGTTTCTATTACATTACATTACATTGCATTTCCTTTGTCAGCAAATAATATTCTTCTGAGAGAAAAATAGCCAAGACTCATTATTGTCTCACTTTCTTTTCCATACAAGTTGCAGAAAAAGGATGAAGATATGATTTTTTGATAGGAAATAAGAGATGTATATCAATAATTCAGGAGGATAGGATTAGGACAAAGACTTTTTTATTTTTGTACATCTTAGTGTTCATCACATTGCTTTATAAATTTCCACTTTTCTGATTATAAATTATTTTCCTCAAGTTGTAGATGCAAGTTTTATCTTTGGTCAATGTAGTTTTCATAGTCTTTTGTGATTATTGATGCACTTCTTGTCAGATTTCTTAATTTACAAATTATAACTGGACAATTAAAAGAATATTTTTGCAGATTTTGTTAATTTTGTAGCTTCTCCCGTCCAAATTTTCTGGGAAAGTTGGATGATTTTACTTTTAACATCATAAATTCTTAGAGTTCTTTTTTTTTGGTTTTTTATTTTTTTATTTCAAGCAATGTCCCAAAAAGTACATTAATATTGCTAAATTTTAACTTTTGTCTGTTGCAAAACCAGCCTGACATCTTCTTTTATTTTTTGAGTTCAGTCGGTGATGTCCTTGTTTGTTACTTCAGGCTGTTCCTTGTTGAACACATAGGATTTCTGTTTGAGTATGTTTGCCCATCATTCCCTTAATTTGTGCTTATGAAATCATGTTGTTGCTGCTTAACATGATCCTTTGTTGTTTTTCCTTTTAAGGTTCTACTTGCAGCGTCATGCCTGATCTTGCTTTGGCATGCTAGTTTGTGTCAGACTATTGGTTATTAGTATTGGACTGAACTGTGATTGTTTTAGATAGTATTTGATTGTACAGTACTATCCTAATGTTTGACGCAATACTGAGGTAGATGGGATTGCAGATGGTGAATGCATTCCAATATACCATCAAACCAATTAAAATAAATCTAAATATGAACTTAAACTTAAATTAACTATTAAAAATTTTTGAATGTTGAATTTTTATTTTTATAAGATATACAGCTTTATTTAAGATATGAACATATAAATTCTAGTATAACCACAAAATCTGTATTTTAATTTCAATATTCATCAATATATAGGCCAATGGCAGTATTCTAAAGATATAGACAATTATAATATTCATCATTTTATGATTTAGATTGTTATTATATAATTGAGTTTGAGTCTCATAAACATGGGACAAATAATCTCATAGCCTGACTGTTGATACCATGTTTGGACTGCAGTGTAATCCCACCAAACAATAGTGCTCCATGTTTAGTTCCTTGTATGAAATGAGGCCTTAGTATTCAACTTTAGTGGTTGGACCCAGCAAAACTTGGCATAGGCATTGGTTCAACCTTTTTATGTTGATCAGAACCTTGATATGGATGGAGAACATCCAACCAACTTCCTTGGTTTGTTTCTGGTGTTGACACCACGGGCAACCTGATTCAACCTGAGCTTTTTTATTCTATTATTTGGTTTCTTTAGATCTCATTGTCTTGAATTGATCTCCTGTCTTATGATATTTCAACTTCTAGTTCTTGTTTTTTGAAGTTAAAATACAAAATTTTCATATGTTGTGTTACTGTATATATTCTCAACCAGGCTTCGGGAGCACAACTCATGGGAAGACCTGCTGCATCTCCATCTGGTCCTACCAGTGCTACGTCATTTGATAACACAACTGCATCTCCACTGCCATATGCCAACTCGCCTAGGTCAGGCCCAAACATGATGAATACACCATCTCCTCAGCAACAAACCCAGCAACAGCAGCAACAGCAACATCAGCAGCAGCAGCAAAGGCAGAAATTGATGCAATTACCTCCGCATCAACAGCAACTTCTTGCTCAGCAACAATTCAGGCAGTCTTCGATGCAACTGGGACAGGTTTGTTTTGCTAACATCTGATAGTAATTGGAGTGATTATTTAGTTGTTGCTTTACATTTTTTAAAAGGCACAAGTATCTATTAAATTTAATTTTAAGTTTCCTGTCTTGCATTGGAAGTAGATAATTGTATTGCATCTTGTACATAAGCTTTCTGCACGTGTTTGCGTTTTGAATTTCGACGGTGGCAAGAAACTTGATTCTGGTCAGGGTCTTGGAATCAATTAGGTCTCAGAATTTTGAAGTTTATAATTTTTAAAATTTTCTGAGTTCATCAAAATTTTTTGTATTGATAATTTAGAAACTCTTGGCTGTGTTTGTTTCACTATTATGAATACTATTCTATCCAATCCTATCCAAAATATATATTTGTTTCAATATTCTGAAAATTCAATCATATTTTATTCAACTCAAAATATTTAGAATTTCTCAACCTCCTAGGTTTGTTAATTTAACTAAACACCAAAAAACAATAAAAGTTTATAAATTGACAAAAACACCCCAAACAATAAAAGTTTATAAATTGACAAAAACACTCCCACCTACGGACCTACCCATCCACATATTCTCAACAGCCGACCACGACCTCCAAAAGGTGGCCAGAATCTGTCGGAATTGCGCATAAACGGTTGGATGTGGCCGGTGTGCATCGATCTGGCCTTTTCTAACCAAACCCATCATGGATCTGGCCGAAAGATGCTAGTTCTACAGTCAAAGATCTGGCCGCATTTGGTCGTCAATGACGGCCAAGATATGGCCGTAGATCTGGCCGGAAATGGTTAGACCGACACACTACCAGCTAGATCCAGCTAGTTGTGTGCCATTCCGGTGACTTTCGGCCACCGTTTAACGGTGGTGGCCGGCATTTAATGGGTGGGTTTGTTAATTTTAGAACTTTTATTGTAGGAGGCGTTTAGCTAAATTAACAAATGTAGGGGGTTAAAAGATAATCTAAATATTTTTAGAAAATGTTTTCCAAAAATTTACCAAACACATTTTCAAATTCAAATCCTATTCTCTTAATAACAACCTAACTCAACTTTTTCAAAAATACTATTCTAAATACTCTACCAAACACAGCTCTTATTTTTGATAAGAAACTATAAAATTTTTATTAAATTAGTAAAAGGTGAGAAGATTCATTGTGGACCAAGTGTCCACAGGGAATCAATATACTAGTGGAGGGAAAACAATTCTATACACTTGATTGTAGCAAGCAATCATCCCTCTACTGTGCAAAATAGATAAATATACAAAAACCTTATGAAATGGCTTACTTTTGTAATTAAATGGGAATATCTTTGAGATTCATATGCTTTGTTTGCAGACTAACGATTTCTTAAGCTAGCTTTATCTATGTGTTTGTCTCTGTGTTTATTTCACTTTCTATGAATTTGAACTTTGACCTGAATGACACAAAGGTTTTTTGATACACTTGGTGGAGGAAAGACCTTTTTGCTCTCTAAATTTAAAATCTCCAGAAGTTATAGAAGAGAGCTAGTTTTTTCATTGTAAATATTGATTTTAAATAGTTTGTTATGATTTTATTTCCTTGTGTACAAAGGGCCAGTTGTGAGTCCCAACTTCGAAATTGTCTGTTCCATTGCATAGAACTGGACTCCTCAATCTTTCCTTGAAAGTTTGCTTAAACATTCCTATCTTTGGTGATATGAACCAGTTGCTTAGGTTGATTTTCTTATGTTGTACTCGCTGAATTTTTTTGTGTTCAGCCATTTTGACATTCTACATTGAACTGTTATATTCTTGTCCAGAACCAGTTGCCGCAGCTTCATGATTTGCAAGGCCAGTCACAACAAAAGTTTCAGCAGGCAATTTGTTCTTTAGCTTGTTTAGTTTTAAAATTTTTCCATACTTTTCTCTCTTGTATCACTTGTACAAAGGTGATAATGAAAGTAATAATATGCAAGCGTTTTGGAGTGATTGTACTTGAGTAAATATTTGCAAACTTAAAGTTGGTCATTCACATTTTGTTATACTAGCTATATCCAACAGACCTACTAATAATCAATACTGACGCTGTTTACACTATTCTTTCAATTCAACCTAAAAAAAAGAAACTATGTAAATAGTTTACTAATTTCTGGGAAAACAATATCAAAAGGTACACCTCCAATTCCGTCAATAGAATGCACCATTTATAAAAATAGAAGCACCTATTATGATGATTACTAGAAGCCTTTGGTTCAGGGATCTGTCAAGGGAATCCTCAATAATTTTCCTTTATACATGATGTAGTGATCTTAGCCTCTTCAATTTATTGTGTGCAGAGTGACACTAATGCCACTGCTAGAGAATTTGAGTGTTTCTATTTCTGGGGCTTAGTTGTGGGTGTTTAATTGACTAAGAAGTTACATAAATTTGTGCATGATTAAGCTATTCTACTTGTGTTTCGTGTTCTACCAGTTACATGGCCAACATCAGATGCAATTTTCTCAGCCGATGGGTCACCAGCAATTTCAAGGTAGGCAGCTGCCATCTGGACATGTTCAGCACGGGATTGGTCAGAGCCAACTTGGCCAAGGAAATCAGTTGAATCGTCATTTAGGCCAGTTTTCTGGTGCTGCTAATAGTGCATTGTTTAATGCTGCTCAGGGGTCACCAAATACTCAGATGGTAAGACTTGTAGTTCTTTAACTTAAATTTGCTTTCAATTTTTAATATCTTTTTTCTATTTTCTGATCAATATCAAGGAGTTGGGTATGACAGATTGAAATGTAGTGATGTTAATGTGTGTTGCTGGTGATAACACTGTTTTGTTTATTTTTCTTGCAATTAGTGTATGCTTTCAGGCAGTAGCTATCTTGGACTTTCTTTAAGTTTCCATAACAAAGATCTTGTAACTTTTTTCTGTGAGTCGTATAATTCTTCTATTATGGTTGCTTCATCTAAGATTTATTAGGTTTTATATCATTGGTATAGTTTCTTACTTGGTAATGGTATCATGTTATTTTTCATGCCTTTCCTCTCTATGGAAGCCATAATAGTCTTGTAATTAAAATATAATTTGACATTTTCTGGTATCTTTCTGATAAGTTTTTGATAAGACAGTAAAGTTCTTGCAGAGTACTTATTTGAGCTGTTTCGTGTTTTTTTCTTTAGCTCAGATCCTTTGTTGTAAAATCTTGTTATTGTGCAAGTCCAAAGATTACTGTGATTTTGGGTTTGGCATAAGATGTGGAGGCTTGTAGGAAATTCTCAAGCTTTGTTTATCTTTAGGTCACAATTATGCACCTTTCTGTTCTTTTCTTGGGCTACTCTTCCCTGAAAAATTTCTCTTTCAATTGTTCTAACAACTGTCAACGGCAATTTGTTCTCTTCTCATATTTGAGCTGGGGGTTAATTTGTAATTTTGTATGAAAGTTGATAATCCATAAAATCATACTCTTGCAAATGTTTGAGCTGCACAATTGTTACCAGAATATCTGAATATATAAAGTAGCAGGTATTGGCTAATTTTGAAGATTTACTCAATCTAGATTTGTTGAGAATGAGTATTAAATTCTAGTTGTTGTGGTTGATGTTTCAATATTTGATGTCACTGTCATGCTCAACTACTGGAACAGGAATCTTACTACTTTAAGTTTTCTTCTTCCCATTAAATGAACATTTAAAATTTGCTTTACCCATTCAGTTTCTTTCTGTATATTTATTTATTCAGCTTGTTGATTTATTAATATTCATTATCTACTCTGCTGATTTGTTCTGTTTTGCATATTGTTCTTATACTTTTCCAGTGTTTATCGGTTCCTTTCATTTTTGTTATGGTTATTCTTCTTTATTGTACTCATTTTTTTTTTATTTTTCTTATTTTAGATGCCTAATATGTCAGCCACCATGCCTTCTCAATCGCTTCTTCCACGGATGCAGGTTAGTTATGCCAATTTTACCACTAAAACCTGCTCTGTTTTACCAACATCTGGTGCTGCTTGTATGAGTTTAATCAAATTCAAAGAAATTTTTTTCTTTAAATTGGTACATTTAACATTTAACTCAGATGCCCACTTAGGGCACAACGCAAAGAAATTTCCATCAGTAATTAATATTTACGGATCAAGGTTAGCTTCACTAACAGTATCTTATTTGTAGATGTTAGCTACCATCTGATTGAAAAAAATTAAACAGTGTGTAGCAACTACTGTTAGTGTTTCAATGCTTAATCCTCTTTAATGGTGGTAAACAAGATTAAACTTATATACAATGATTGTTGTACTTGGAGGTTTATTTATTACAGATAATTGGTGTGTTTGTTGCAATTATGGAGCCACTTCACTTTATTCCTCACATGATTAGATTTATGGTTCCTGACACTCAAAAGAACAACAATTTCTAACTTTCACTCCGCTAAAGTTACTGATGGTATGAATGATATTGTAAGCCTGTTTCTATCACCTCTGCATGTTGGCTGTTGGGTATTGAAAAGATTATGTTGAATTTGCCTCAAAGTCTAAACAAAACATATTAATGAATTTGCGTGTATTTTGTTTGGAAAGTATGGCTAGGGAAAGGAACTACAATTGTTAGTTGTCATCTTGTTTTCTGTGCAAAAGTGCTTTATTCTATAATATCATTCCTTATATTAGTAAAATTTTTATTTGCTGTAAACTGGAAGTGAGACCAGTCATCAGTTATTACATAATGGGATCTTCAAGGTCATGGATCAATATGTATATATTGTTTTTTTTTTTTTTTTTTTAACATATATTTTATTTGCTTATTCTCCTTGATTTATTATTACATTACTCGATATGCTTATGCAAATAATAGCCAGCTACTCCAGTTCCCATTGGTGAGATTGTTATAACAACAACTTATTGCTTACTTGATTCATTATCTTTTGCTCCATCCCTGGTGCAGTTTGGATTAGCTGGTAACAATCCCCAAAGAAGTCATGCTTCCCAAATGTTGAATGATCAGAGTATGATATATGCCCCTAAACTTTGGATTTTCTCTGTAAAATTTTGTTGTTCTCTTGAAAAAGGGGAAAACATATGGTACAATCAAAGGCTTCCTGTATTTATTTTCATTATGACTATTTCTGAGGTTAAAACGCATTTCGCCCTTTTGCTTGCAGTGTTTAATATGGGACCGTCCAACCCGGGAGGCATGATGCCTATGCAGCAGCAGCAACAACAGCAACAAGGTGCATTCGGGAATATGGCTCCAAACGCTCAGAATCTGCAATCTAACATGGTAGCACTTCAGAATGCCCAACAAAATCATCCCAACTTTGGGCAGCAGAGACAACAAAATCAGCAGTAACGTGGTTCTATTTACTGATAATTGCGAGTTGTATAGGACCACCATAAGTTGTTCCACAAATCACATCTTCAGGGATTATATGGGGTTGTAACTTTCATATGCATGGCATTGAACTTGGCCTTTTAGCATACAAATGGAATAGGATTGTCAATTATTGACCAATTATAGAAAAAGCTGGTATAAAATTATAAATCCTATATTCTAGTTCGAAATGAGCTGTTATCAGCTACAGAAGGTTATTATCATCATCATCATCATGGACCTTCCCTCATGATTGAATTATATAACATAGACTAGTTTCAAAATAATTGCAGAAGTCCGAGAGCATCTAAAAAATTGTAGGAGAGGCATTTGTTGTCCATTCAAGTCATGTCTATTATGAATGTGAAGGACAATTCCATTGTCTGTATTCTTTGCTCCATGTCACAGCCATCTGCGTGTTATTGTTATTAATAATGTCTATTATGAATGTGAAGGACAATTCCATTGTTGTCCATTCAAGTCATGTCTAAAATCATTTTATGTTGGGCTGTATTCTTTGCTGAATGTCACAGCCATCTGCGTGTTATTGTTAACATGTACTGGAAGAGGCTGTGCAACTTCACAAAATTGCTTCATTGACATTGTTGGATTTGAGACTTTTCACAATCAGCTTCAATGTTTTAATAACCAACTCAGGGTGAAACCTAGCAAAGTTGTCGGGTCTCAGGTTGACAGGTTTAACCGGTTTGATCGGCCGGTCAAATTGGGTCTCCAAAACTTTAAAATTTAGCAAATACACCTTTAAAAATTACAGTTAAGTTTCTACAATTTTGAAATATAACAAACACACATCAAATACAAATCGGCGATCGATTGGTTGGTGGTGGCGATACATCAAATGGAATCCCAAATCCCAATCATCTCTTGAGCCATTCCCCATAAATTATATCTAAGATTTGGCTAAAATCCGCAAATCTTACCATCGTTGACGTCGACAACCTAGGATAGATCTCACCACCGTCAGCATCAACAACCCTCTCCATCACCACGAAAATACTCCCTTTAGCCTCTTGACCAAAGCCCATCTGATCTCGTCCTTATTCACCTTGCTAATCGCCAACAAAAGCCGACTATTGCTATCACGAGTTTTTTATTTTATTTCCATCGATTCACTCACCAAAAATCACCTTCGTCGCCACCATTGCACTCACCGACCTTTTTCTTCAAAAGTCCCAACATCCCGGCCTTTAATTGTTCGTTGATCACCGTCCTAATATTTGAGGTTTTTCGGTGAAAAAGAAAATTACAAACCTGACTTGGGGCCTGATTGAACCGTTTCAATTGGTCGGGCTGGACTGGGTTTTAAAACACTGGTTAACGTTACATATTGCTTCACAGTTGGGAACAAATTGTGAGAATTTCATTTTTATACAACGGACACAAATGGAATAACTTTGCCAAGCACATTAAAATGAAGGATTCAGTTTTGAGTATTAGAAAATAGAAATGTTTCAAGAATATTGTTACAATGTTTCAATCCTACAACTATACCGTCCAAATTCCAGTTAGCACAATCTTGTAGCAACTGCACAGTCAATACTCAAATGAGTCAGCATAACTACTGAGGATAGAATAGGGTTAAGACATTCGTCCCTTGAACATAAGGAAAATTTTTGTGAAGTTGGCTGCTTAGTTCTGCTTTCAATCGCTGTGACTCTTGACGAGTCTTCGATCAAGGATTTGAGAAGACCAAGAAAAGCAGCTGCAGCATCTTACTACAAACCAATCCAACCTGTGTTTTCATGGCCCAAAAAATAACTCTAGAGTTACTATTATTTAAAAATAAAATAAAAAAAGAAAAAGAAAAAAGAAATACATACTCCTTTATTGGATTTTTGAATGTAAGATGGACGACATAAAAACTTAAAATTTACAGTATCAAAGTAACATATTGAATGGTAGATGTCCAGCACATTGAGGGAAATCCCAGCTGTATTAGTTCAGATTTCAATGGCTTTGACTGGTTGTTAGGTGGGTTTGGATTTAAAATTAAAAATGGTGTCTTCAAGATGAAGAATGAAACCAAAAACTACCAGTCAAATGATCTTTGAAAAGTTGTATTGGAAAGGAAAAAGGGTTTTCTGGGTTGAAGAAAGGCACAACTTGAATTACTCCCAGATTCCAATTTGACACACAGAAGCAAACAAAGTTTATTTTCCAAAATGACAAACTTAAATTCGCCAGAAACTAAGCTTCAGAATGAATCTAATTGTGCAATTCATATTTTGATAAAGCTAAAGATCTTAATAAATGCAAAAGAAGAAAAATATGGAGGACTTACAATTCTTTAAGGCAAGAATTGGAATCCCCAGATGGCTCATCCGGGGCTCTTTTATCCAAAGAAAATGTAGATGGCACCTGAGCTACTGCAGGAGTGGACAAGGTTTCAAGCAAGAGGGGGAGGTTATCAGCCGTGCCGTGCCTGGAAGGAAGCGGTGAGAAGGGCGGCGAAGGCGATGGAGACGGCGAAAACGAGTACTTTTGGTTGCCGGGTCCGACACTAATGGGAAGAGGAGATGGTGGAGTTGGAGGAGAAGATGATGGAGAAATGTATCCATTATTTTTGATCAAATGATCTTCTTCTAATTCTTCCATGAAAAGATTGAAGATTCTGCAAATTTTTTTTTTTTTTTTTTTTTTCTTTCTTTCTTTCTTTTGTGTTTGTGATTTTTGGTAGTTGAATTAGTGGTAATGTCTGTAAGTTTAGTTTCCCGGGATATTTTGATTTGAATTACCGGTAAAACCTAACGGTCTTTGGCTAACCTACCCGCTATGCACCACATTTCTCTTGCTATCTTAATTTCAAAAGCAAATTGTACTATTGTTTTTATTTTATTTTTATTTTTTCTGATATATGCTTTTGGCATGTGTGGAAGTAGTTTTGTGAAAAGTGCTCGAGTAAAAATGCTTTCTTTAACAACACATGGAGACACCATTGGTAGGGCTGTTAGCCGTGTAAGACTTAAAAAAACTCTGCTCGAAACAAGTCGAGTTGACTCGGCTCAAATTCGTTATACAAATCGAGTCGAGTTCGAGCAACATGTGACTCGGCTCGCATACACAGGATTAGGGGGTGACATGTAATTTTCTAGTTTTTAAAATTGACAAACACGCCCTGAGAAGTGGGAACTATGCGGGCGACTAATTTCAGAATTTGAAGCTTCGGCTGTTGTTAACCATCAAATCACTAAATAAATATAAATATTTAAAATTTTTATTAATATTTTTTACCCCTATGCAAAGAAAGTTTCGCTCTCTCTCCTTTTTCTTCTCCCCTTCACATCACAACCACGCGTTCTTCACCCACTTTTCTCTCCAACACAACACAAAAATCTCATAATCTCTCCATCTTCATCTTCTTCCCTAGTGTCCGTAAGACAAACCACAAAACTCATCTACAAAATTCGTCTTTCCGGCAAGCTTCGAGTGGTTCTTCTTCTTTTTAGATTTTCATTCTCAAATTTTATTAAACTCAATAAGTTCAAGTATAATTAGCTCTTAGAATGATAATAGATTTCAGAATTGTTGTTGATTGCTATTAATATTGTTACAATTAAAATTTTAATGTTGTTGTTGATTACTATTATCATCCATAAAAAAACTGTTGGGTTTTTTAAAAAAATTGCAAGTTTTCTAGTGGCTTGTGAGCCAGCTCAAATTCGGCTCGTTAAGCTGACTCGCGAGCCAAGCTCGAATCTCCCTCCCCCTAAACGAGTTCGAGCCGAGTCAAAAAATCAGCGACTCGGTTGGCTCGACTCGAACTCGTCTCCCCCCTGATTGAGCCGAGCTCATTTAGCCTAAAACTCGGCTCGGCTCGATAACAGCCCTAACCATTGGGGATAACAATTACAAGAATTCTTGAGAAAATATTAGTGTTTTCTAATTTAAAAAAAAAAAAAAAAAACTTTTCAAAAAGGATAATTTATGATCCGAAAATAATTTTAAAAACTATAATACAATTAAAATTTTTGGGTTGCATCTTATTATTTTTAATATTTGAAAATACGTTTGATATGATATTAAGAAACTGCCTTTTGGATTAAAAATAGTTGAAAACTGTGAAAACGACTTATAATCGTTTTCTAATTCTATACCAGTTTTTAGGATTGTATATGAAAACTGTTGTCGAAAACTGTTTTTAAAAACATTTCAACTTATTTTTACTAACTATATTTTCATGAGATTTTTGAATCCTTTGTTTTAAAAAAACAAAAAATTGTATTTAAATTTTATATCAAACATATATTAAATCCTTATTCTAGTGTCGATTCGATTAATTTTAAATAATTATTGCAAAGTAATCATGTATGTTAACTGTATAACTTTTGTGTGTGTATGCGCGCCAAATTTTATTCCTTAAATAGAATTATTATTATTATTATATATTAAAAATTAATCTCTTGAGAGATTTCTCTTTGACATGGAAATTCAATTATGATACAAATCTGGAAATTGTATCTGCTCTAAAAATCAAGCACACATCACATTCTTTACATATTGATAATGGCATCGCATATGCATGAGGTGTGTTTGGTTACTGGGATTGGACTGTATTAATACTGAATCACCAACATATGGTGATGACGCCCCCAAACCCCAATCCGTCTTCTTCTTCCCCCTCCAACACCGAATCTTTTTCATCAAAATCTTTTTCTCAGGAGGCTTCTCCTTCTAACTCCAACACTGAAGCTTCCTCACCAGATTTTCTTTTCACCGAGCATTGCTTCGTCCATTACTTCATCTACAACTTCGTCTCCTGAACAACAAATTCCTTACCACCTAGTTATCTCCGTGAGTATCATGTTGGTATTTCTCTTCCTTGAAGGAACATTCCCGAATCTAACTCGGCATTGGCAGATAATGTTTCAATATTTTACAAATATTTTAAATGGCAGATAATGTTTCAATATTATCTATCTTGAATTATTATAATTAATGCTGAAATCAAATTAATTTTATATTTATTTTTTGAATTATCATTATATACTTCATGATTTATACAATTTATCTCTTTTATTAATTTATTTATAATATATTGGAGATATTTATCTGTTGATACAAGATTTTACACTAATTAGAGTGATTCGATTGACCTTGATGGAATCAGAACTGATGTATGCGTG